CTTCCCACCATTGCTTCAAGCTTGGATCTCGAGCAAAGCAGGAGAAAAGCAGAAGGAGCTGAGTCCTCCTCCTCTTCTCTTGGGAGTCCCGTGGGCTCCGTGGCTCTTCTGCTCATCCTCTTCCCATCCTGCCCACCCTCAAGGACTCCCTAAGACACCCAACCTTCAAAGAGGGAATCTTTTCGCTTGTTTTCCCCCAGCTGGGAAAACACCAGGGTGTTGGCAGGCTGGAGTAGAAGAGGCATGAAAACATTTCCCAGGGACTTGTGGAAATGGGGCTGAGTGGAGCAGAGGCCAGGGCTGACGATACTGTGATTAGATGCAGGTGATGAAGGCTGGATGTGATGATTGGGGGTGGGGGGAACTGGGAAGAGCCCTGGGCAGGTGTGGGATGTGGAGAAGGGAGGAAAGGGAACCAGATGTGACAGGGGAGGTGTTTCACCAAACTCACCTTTCAAACCTGGGAGTGGAAACTGCTCCTTGTCTCACGCATCCACCCACACTCCCACCGCAGGCTGCAGGATGGATTTCAAAGGTCACAAGTCAAATCAAGAGCACTCAAATTCTTTTGAGCTTTTTTTTTTTCTTTAACCCCTTGTGCTTGTAGGGAAGGGGCAGCTTTATGCTTTCTCTCTGATTCATGCATTTTCATACACGGAGATGACAAATAAAAGAGTGCTCAGCACTCAGAGACTTCTGCTCCAGGGAAACCTGCTCCATTACTCCCATTCCCAATGCTAACACCTTTTCCTCTTTACCTGTCCAGCTGATCGCCAGCAAATATCCCAAGACTATGAGGAGTGAGTGGGAGCTCATAAATATGTACCACGTCAAATTACAGCAAATCGCCCAGAGCCAGGCTATACTTGACGACTACAAGAACCTGACGGGTTTGAGCCGTGGCCATATGAGTCCCAGCTGCCACCACCCCAATGCCAGCAGGCCAGCTACCTTCACCCTCACCAACATAGTGCCCCAAAACGCGCAACTCAACATGGGCGCCTGGCAAAATTATGAGGAGAAAACAATGGTGAACGAGAGCCAGGGATGTACAACCACCTATGTCGTTGTGGGAGCTGTACCTGGGAACAACTACATTGCCAAGGGGAGAGTTAATATACCGAGCCACATCTGGTTGAGTGCCTGCTGCGAGGTCGGACCCAACCAGAGGAAGACTTGGGCAGTCATTGCTCAGAATAACCAGAATGTGGTCCAGACCCTCTCTCTGGGGGATCTGGAGGGTATGTTGACCCAGCTCTATGGGAGGGGCCAGGTTTCTCTGTT